CCACAGACGTGGAAGACCCAAGTGTTACCTTCTCAGAAACTGTACGTTGCATTCGTCACTTAAAGTAAAAAATGTAAAATATAAAATCGAGAATTTTCACACAAAAATATCAATCAGTAGCCGTTTTCACCGTGAAGACAAAATAAAGTACAAAAATTTTTTTTTTCCATAAGAAAATATATTACATTAGCTTTAATTTAAGATTTATATAAAAGTGTCAGTATTTCCGGGACACTTTCAAAAGTTCAGTTGAAAAAGTTGTCATTTTGAATTCCCCCTTGGTGGCTGGTAAAGAGTTAAATTTATAAAAAAAATATACCAAATGATAGGTAAAGACATCAAGCATCTATAAAAAAACAAAAATTATATTGATTTGTTCATTTTTGAAGAAGTTATGGCAGTTTTAAGTAAAAAAAATTGAAAAAATTTGAAAATTAGCGATTTTTAAATTTGTAATTTTTTTGGAGGTTTCCCCCATTTACGAGAAACGAGGGAATTTTTTTCAATTTTTGAGGGTAATGTCTTTGACTAGATATGATTTGTGATCTTTTGACGTATCGTTGAAAGAAATTGGTTTGGTGAGAGCTGAGAAAAAGTGGTAACAGACACAAAAAAAAACACATCATAGTAAAATTAATACCTTCTCAGCTTCACATCGAAGCTAAAATAAAGTTGACATACTTATAATTAAAGAGTAATTTTGTATGTATTTATAAATTTTGTCTAAGTTATTATGAAAGGACCCAAATTTGTTGTTGGAATATACTGTAACATAGAAATATTTTTCGTTTTAGAGGTAATATATCACCCTAATCCTACCAACACTAATTTCAATTAAATCATATTACTAAATTTTCAAGAATACTAATACAAATTTGTAAAAACTGTTAATGTTTGGAATAACTTAACAAAATTTATAAATACATATAAATCTACTCTCTACTTATTGTGTACTTTAAGGAAAAGAAATGATCATAAAAAGTAATTATTAATTGATAATTAAGAAAAGTATGTACCTAAAAGAAACAAAAAAAAAATTTAACATTATTATTTTTATTTCATCAAAATATTTGCCTGATCTTTAAATTTTGTATAGTATTGTAAAATTGTAAATTTAGTAACAACAAAACAAAATCATTTTTTTTTTTTAACTCAAACATCAATTTTTTCTTATATTGTGTTACAGATATGGAATTTGTCCACTCATCAATTAATGTACACTTTCCCTGCAGAACATGCTCGCTCTAGTTTCTTTAAACATATTGGTCAAGGAGTCACACAATTACATGTAGATTCATCAGCAAGGCTTTTTTCTTGTGGTGCTGATGGTTCTATGAAAGTTAGACAGTTGCCAGATAGGTATCATTAAAAATTTATCATATAATTAAGAACTATTATTTGTTTTAACAAAACAGCACTAGTCATATATAAACATATTGTAGGAAAACATTGTTTTTTTAAATAGCTATCTGTTAATACTCTGTGTTTAACTTTACCCTACAAATTTATTATAATTATTATAAATTATACTAGAAATTTTTTTATAGAAATGTATTTAATTATACATACTTATTTATATTTGTTAAATATTTAGTAGCTATGTTCATTATTTTCAAAATGTGCAATAAAAATGCTTATATTTTATTTTAACTGTTTACCACCTTTATAAATGAGCAATAATAGTCAAGCGCTTAAGCATTAGTACATATTTATATTAAAGAATATTTCATTAGTTAGAGATTTCTTTACTTGGGTAAGGCTTTGTATTTTATATTACATAAAGGAACATATACATAAGCTCGTTTTGCTACAGTATTATAATACTTATACAATTAAATATAAATATTTTTCCCTTGTTCCAAATAAACATATTAACCATTTATTTAAATATTTTGATTTAATTATTCATTATATTTATAATTTTGAGTTTTACTTTGTTATTTTTAGATGAATAATAAATCATGAGTTTTAATTTTAAACTTTTAAGCTTTACTGTGTCATTTTATTATTATTGAAAATAGTATTGTTAAACTCTATTGTATAAATGTTCACTGAATTTGAAATAATAGTTAAGTGAAAAATAGTTGTTTTTTATAACAAAAAAGTCTTATCAAATTGTTGGTCATTTTAGTTTATTTTTATATTGTACAAAATAATAATATGCAAATACAATTTATTATTTTGTACAAATCTGTGATTTTAGTTTTTTTAGAATTTTTCTTTCTTCTATGATATATTAGTAGTATATAATGTGACTTTCAAATTGTATTTTTGATCAAGACTTTTGACAATAAAAGTAATAACAAAAATAATGAATATTTTACATTACTGTATATCATAATCAATTTTTATATAAATCATATTGTAACCGAATATTAGTAATATTATTGTAACCTTTATTATCAATTTACTGAAACTAAACAATCCTTATTATTTATTATATTCATTACTATTTACTTCATAAGAATGTTACTGTATAATAAGCCATTAATTATTATAAAAATTAAAACATAAATAAAACAAGTTGTTGGTTATTAAATAATTCGTTTTTAATTTTCGAAGTCGTATTTTTATGTTTGAAAATTCAAATATTAGTAGTAACAACCAAGTTACATAATTTTTTTTTTTATGTCGTTACTTTATATTTCAATAATTTAAATACTATAAAGGGTGACTGATAATTTTTGTTAGTATTTTTACAATTTCTTGCACCCGAATATTTTATTTATAAGGTAAATCTTAAAATAATTTTACTGTTTCAAGTTCTATTTTTATATAGAACTATATTTAAATAAAATTATTTTTATATTAAAGGCGTAATTAAGATAGAGGTTAGGCCCCCCAAATTCTCTCAACTACTCACCCATTAAGTATGTAAATTTATATAGAAATATTATTAAGGGGAGGAGAAGTTTGAACCCATTAAATATTTTAATAAAAGTATATAATATAATTCATAATATGGATATGACTATGAATTGTTTTTACTCAATCGTGAAATTATTGTATGTAGCCCTAGACAACGCATTGCATATCCAATGAGTATTCAAATATCCAAAAAATTTTAAGGGCGATGTGAAAACAAATTCATGGATCAAAAAGTACCATTACAGTCATGGCGTCCGCAGAAATTTTTCATTAAAGGGGGGTCAAAATATATANTCCGCAGAAATTTTTCATTAAAGGGGGGTCAAAATATATATTTTTAAATATATGATGTTTCGGTCTGATCAACAGACCCAATGTTGAACTAGGGACCTCGGTCAGGGAAACACGCTTTTTTTAATGGCTTTGCGATAAGCGCAACAAAAAAGAGGTTAGTTAACTAATTAACGCCTTAAAAATTATAAAAATTTAATAGTGTTGTCATATACATATACGTATAGTATTTTTTTATGACAGGAAGAAAATACATAAGCATCCACAAATATGTTATTCTAATATGGGCCTATGAACTTCACAGAAAAGAAACTATAAATAGTTTTTTTATAATTTAATGAATNGAACTTCACAGAAAAGAAACTATAAGTTGTTTTTTTATAATTTTATGAATTATTTATAAAATTAAGTATTTATAAAAATTTAATAAATAAAAATCAAACCTACATATCATTAATATATAAACACAGTGCTCTTAATCTTGGCATTCATAGTATAATTCAAGAAAAATCAATTTTTTTTTATTATTTANATTCATAGTATAATTCAAGAAAAATCAATTTTTTTTATTTTTTAAAGTTGTAAACCAAACGTTTTTTCGATTTTTTATCATTATTTTGACTAAAGAAACGACAAAAATATTCACAGTCCTTTGACTTGTTAATTATAAATGAAATAACCCTATATATGTTCTTATTTTTTAATTTCATATTTTAAATGTAAATCTTTAAAAACTTGGAGACTCTTAGTACCTTCAAACGTTTTTGAGTTCCTCAAAATTAAAAAATCGTATGTATTAATTTTTAAGATAGCATACATTTTTTTTCTATGTTTTGCTTTTCTAATATTTGATTATAAGTTAAAACGTGATTGATACTCTAATATTTATTCAAAAAAAAATTGTGTTTTGTTTATTGAAGATTAGTAATTTCAATAACAAATCGTAACTATCGTAAAAATGGATGCTAATTTTATTAAACTCGTTTCGTCAAAAATTTGTATGTGTTGACGATAAATTTGCTATGAATCTGATATTTAAACATATTTAAATATTCATATTCAAAGTTATACGTAGTGCTTGGCATCTTTCACTATGTTTGGTCTTTATTGGAAATAAAATAGTGTTGTTACGCCAGACCTATGTTATGTTGCCAAAGTATTTATTTTTAGGCGTTAGCTTCTTTTTACTGATTATAACATAAAATTTTGTTGGATGATTATGATTATAAAACGTAATATATTCGTACATCGTACGATATATAATATACGTCTATATTCAACAAAATATAATTAAAAATAAATAACACTTTAAATTGTTTACTAAATAATGAGTATAATTATAAAATAAAAGTACAAATATTGTAATACATATAATATTATGTGATAATAATAATGATAATATCACACCATATTATCATTAATAAAGACAAACCAATTTTTTCCATTCATTTAAATAAAAAAATTATATTTTCTTCTTATTTATTTTTATTCAGTAAAAATAAATGTAAAGTAAAAAAATTTTAAAAACGGTAGTGCAGTGGTGTCGCGTCACAGCTTGGACGTGGCATAGTTGAGACAAGTATAGATGATATCTAAAAGAAGTTAAATCATAAGTAACACTTTTGTAAATAGTGTTTAATTTAAGAAATTTATGGATTATTACAATAGCAACATCAACTTTTATATCCTAAATTATGCCCTACTTAGTAATTATTTTTTTTTTTTTTTTTTTTTTTTTTTTGATCTTTATCAGCATCGGCAGCTATGGCCATTAGCTATAATTTTTACAATATTTCTTTTTTTTTTTACAATTAAAAATTATTTACAATTATGTGGTATAAGTAGAAATATTTACAATTTATTTATTTATTTATTTTTTTAAATTTATATTGAAATTAAATATCTATGTACAGGTTAGAATCATATAGGAATTTTAATGTTTTTCTTTGTTCTTTTTCATCTGGGCCCAGGCTTACTGCCAATGAGTGGTCAATGCTGTTTTCTGCTCTTAACTCTTCAAATTTTATGCATTCTGTTATTACATGTTTGACGGTTTTGGCGGTGTTGCAAACTTCGCAAATTGGTTCCTCATTCTTTTCCAGTATGTGTTTGTGTGTCATTAAGGTGTGTCCTATTCGTAATCTGTTAATTTTTACTTCTTCGTTTCTTTTTAGCGAGACAGATTTTGGCCACGGTTTTATGGATTTTTTTATTTCGTGGAGTTTGGAATATCCATTTTGCCATCTTAGTTGCCATTCTTTAGTCGTGTTTTCTTTTATTAAACGTATTATATCTTTTACTGTGAGTTTCTTAATTGTTGTTGCACTTGTGTTGGTTATTGCGCTTTTAGCTGCCCTGTCTGCTTCTTCGTTTCCTTTTATGCCGCAGTGACCTGGTACCCACATGATGATTATTTCTTTACCTAGGTTGGACGCCGATATAAGTTTGTTGTGTATACTTTGCGTTAATTCTTCGTCCGAAAATTTATTTTTAATAGATTCGATCACACTAAGAGAGTCACTGAATATGATATACTTTTTACTTGGTTGTTCTAAGGTCATGTCAATCGCAGTTGATATAGCTATTGCTTCAAGAGTAAATATACTGCTTTTTGTTTGATTTGTAAGTACTATTTTACTCTTTTCCGACATTGCCGCTATGCCTGAGCCGTTTTCAAGTTTTGATGCGTCAGTAAATATGCTAGTATAGTCTTGGTATTGCTCGAGTATTGCATTCATATTGGATCTGTAGGTAGAAGGCATTGTGTCTTTTTTATGAAATTTGGTTAATTCCGTATTAATGTTAAAGTTTAAAGACCATGGTGATTGAAGGGATTTTTCAGATTTGATTATAAAATCCAAAGGAATATGTTTTTCATATGCTTTTCTTTTGAGTTTTTCAATTACCTTTGATGCTGGATTGTCTCTCTGTCGTATTATTCTCGCTGCGTACACTAACTCAAGTTCTGCTGTCTTGATTTCTAGTGGAGGTATATTTGTAATATTATACATACTTTCTGCTGGGCTAGTTCTGAATGCTCCTAGAGTCATTCTTATACCGGAGTTGTAAATGGTGTTAATTATTTTCAAGTTAGATTTATTCGTGTTTTTGTATATGATTATACCATAGTTTAGTTTGGACAAAATAAGTGACTTAAAAAGTTGTATCAGTGTTGTAGTTTGTCCACCCCATGTAGTATGAGATATAATTTTGAGAATATTTAAGTATGATTGTATATTTGATTTTATACCCTTTATATGTAATCCAAAAGTCATTTTTGAGTCAAACTCGATTCCCAATATTTTAATTGATTTTAGTTCTGGTAGTTCGTTGTTGTTAAGTACAATTTTTAGTGAAGTTTTCTTTCTTCTTTTTGTAAATAATATGCAATTGGATTTCTGAGGTGAAAAGCTGAATCCAGTTTTCGTAGACCACCCTTGTATGTTAGTAGTTGCTTCTTGTAAGAATTTTTGTACTGTGTTTTGATTGGTACTGCAACACATAAAGTTGAAGTCATCTGCAAACAGCGTGTACTTAACTGGAGGTTTGATATTTGTGGCAATATTATTTATTGCTATTAGGAAAAGGGTGACCGATAGGGCTGAACCTTGAGGTACCCCATTTTGAAGTTCGTGAATGTCAGATATAATGTTATTATTTTTAACTCGAAACGTTCTATCACTCAAGAAGTCTGTTAT